TTATTTAACACGATCGACCCAAATTGTAAGAAGAAAATTTTGAAAAAAAACTCATAATTTATAGGTATTATTTTTGTTGATTTTTTTCTTAAAACAAGAACGAATCTTTTATTTTTCGATATATACAATATTGAATAGGGTATCTGTCATTTAAAAACAGAATTAGGTGTATATATATATATATATATTTTATTTCTTAATATATATCTTTTTCTATCTTTATATAAATAAAATCGAAAATATACTTGTTGAAAACACTCACGATTTGGCTTGGGACACTCGCGAAAATGTATGACTTCCGCATAGCTCTTGAACGATGACAAAGCCAGCAAAAGCAGAGCGACAAAGACGAATTCACCGTTTCCGTTCATCCTCGGTCTACGGTACAGAGACGAGTGAAAGAAAAGCATCGTCGAGGGTCGCTTCAGAAGGCGGATAATGATCGAGATAAAAAGTAAGAGAGAGAGAGAGATAGAAAGAGCGAGAAAGAGAGAGAGAGAAGGGAGACGAGGCCATAGGTCAATTGAGATAGTATATCTTTGCTTGTAAGGAAGTTATATCGGACCTAGTATTTCGTTTATTCGTTTTTTCTTCTTTATTACGAAGTAAAAGTAGAACTAGTAGTATATACATATATATATACCTATCATATATACATACGAACCAATGTACAACATAAACGTGTGTATTTGTGTTACGCGTTTTCCCTCTCGACGTCAAACGTTTTATCGATGTAGATTTTCAAAAGGGAAAGAATATATATTCGATTAACGAGAATAAGAGGCTACTCGAAATATACGTTTGTTAGGTATTTATATAAATATGTGTGTTTGTGTGTATGTATATATATATATATATATATATATATATATAGATATATTTATTCTCACGCGAATCAGTGGACAACGCGTGACCCAGAAATGATGATATGATGTCATATTTACTTGACCTCTTTTTCTATCTCTCTCTCTCTCTCTCTCTTTCTCTCTCTCTCTCTCTCTCTCTCTCTCTCTGTTTTTCTCATTATTAAAGCATCTTTTTCTTCTCTTTTTCTGACAAGTACCAGAACAAAGTACTTTTAGTTGGTACTCTTACATGGAAACGATATATCTCTCTCTCTTTTTTTCTTATTTTTCATTAGTTTTTTTTTTTTTTATTATCGATCGAAAGAAAATGTAATTTTTAATCGTAATACTTTTTTCTATAGAATTGAAGATTCATCAGAGTAATGTGTTGAAATTTTGTTATAGAGTTTATATGTAAATAGATATATTATAATATGGCTGTTATTATTATACGTATAAATGAATAACAATCGTAATTATTTTTTTTTTTCGAGGTGGGGCGGCTGTCTTGCGTTCGAAGTTTAAAAGTTTACTACGCAGATGCAACCTTTCAATTATTGTTAACTTATAGGAAATTTATAGCGCACATACGAAACAATATTAAAATTCGTTAAAGTTGTTATTTCATATTACGTAAATTGAAAATTATTCAAAATTATATCTAACACTAGGAAACGAAATAAATATTTAAAAGTGTGTTACGATGGTCATATGTATAGATACTTTTTTTTTTGAATAATTTTCATTTTCGTGTATAATATAAACGTGCCGAAAAAAAAAGATGTAATTAATAATTCAATAAGTAACTTCGATAAAAAAATGTTATCAACGTAAAATAAAGTTGATAAAAATTTACGTTACGCGGCGTTTTACTTTTTTGTTTATTCTTATTTTTTTTTTTTTTTTGATGACACTTCTTGTCACGATTAATAATCGTCTTCATTGACGTACATATATATATATATGTACATATATATTATGTATATGTATGGTGTATCTTCGAAGTATATTGTCAGACGTTTGGCACATTGACCCGAAGCCATTTCACCCTATTTCCTTCGCGGCATGAGATCGGTCAGCTTTGATTCATCGCAGACATAATGAACCTGTCGTATTTGACGATGATAGTTAAGTTGGTAGCTCCCAAAACCCTTCCCGTTCCAACCATTCACCCAACCCTGCCCCCACCCTCTTTTTTTTTTCCTTATTCGTATAAAGTATATGTATACTACTTACGTGTCGTACATCATTCAAAGTATTGTTCGATCAAAGAGATTTGTCAGTCACGCATTATTATAACGCGTGATATATTATCTTCATTCAATCTCATTCAAAGATACGTGCATATATTTATTTTTTTTTACTTACGAAAAATAACAATTATAATATACTTTTATATTTTTGATCGTGTTATAATTGAATTATATTTAAATAGATCTCTTTGTGTTTTTGTTAATTTTTCGTTGCAATTAAATGTTTGCTTTTTTTTTTAATATTTTGCACGTCTCGAAATTTACTGATTAGTTTTAATTGATATTTGTATTTATCCTATATCATTACTCTTAATTTAATTCTAATTTAACCCTGATTTTATTTTGACTTTAATATAATAAATATACTAATTAAATATACGTATTTATTATATCAATCCATTTATGATAAAATAAATCTAACCCCTACAGTCTCATTTCTCACCCTCTTATCCTCTCTCTCCCTCTCTCTCTCTTTCTCTCTCATTCACAATTGAAATGAAATCGAAGCGTAAAACTCGTTGACAATTTCAGAAATTAGTCGTAGACAATACAAAACTGTCAAACAAATAGGAGAGGGGGATGGGGGTGGGGGTTGGCTTGAAAAAAAAATTGGGAGAACGACGAATAAGGAAAAAAAAAAAAAATACTGAAGCACGGGAGTTCGACGATCGTACTTTTGTCCTCTCTCGCAAGGAAACGATCTCTCATCTGCGTCAGAAAGAGAGAAAGACTAAGAGAGAGAGGGGGGCAGGGGGGGAGGGGAAGAGAACTCGGCTCGAACGATGGCGTGGCCTCGGATGACCAATCAAAGACGAGTCCACTAGAAAAAATAAATGGCCACAATTGTTAAAGTGTGCATTTCCTGATAAAATACTTATCTCTCATTTCCAACCACTTACCGATCCTTGCCAATATTTTCGATTTTCTTCTATTCATTTTATTTTCTCTCTCTCTCTCTCTTCTCTCAAAATCTTCTAAAGTCCAAATTACTTTTGTTCATTCTCGAGATTTACACAATTATTATTATTATTATTATTATTCGTTTGTGTGTTGGAGTTTGGGGTGTAGGGTATGGGGTTAAGGAGGAGGAGGAGGAATTAAAAATATCTGTCGAAAGATAATAACGTGAGTCAAAGAAGTTCTAGTAAGCCTATTATTATTTAATTCTCGTAATTGATATCGATTAAAGTCGATGATGATGATGATGATGATCATAAGGCTAAATAATTATGGATCGACGAGGCGTCAATTATTACGTTCTATGGCCGAGGTCAGGGGCCATAATAACGGATCACTTTGTTCGACTTACGGAACGACGAATGTTCACGTTTAGAGAACACGTTGGTTTAACATGCGATTATTCAATTGAAGACGACGATTCCTGGTCAAATAGAAACTTGAAACAGGTCTGTCAAAGTAAAACATCCAAAATTCCCGCCAAACTTTGGAATTTTTTTTTTTAATAATCGATTCGCGTGTTTCGTTAAGATGCATACATTTTATACGATCAATATCGTTTAAATTAAGTATTAGTTGTAACTATGTTTACGATTTCAAATTTATAAATAGAATAATAATATATATATATATATTAATAATAAATATAATGATAAAAGACATTAGAGAGAAGGGGGTTCATTTTTAGCTTGACATTATTTCGTTAACATTATTTTCGTTTTTTAATTTTACATCCAACATTTATAATAATCTTTTACGGCTTTTAATTTATATATATTGATATTTTTTAATTCAAGGGTTTCACTATGTTTTAGAAAAGAACAAAATTAATTAAATAAATAAATTTGTTGCTTGAGAAAGTTTATGTCGAATCGTTTATTAAATACAAGATTTAACAACACAATAATAATAATATTAATAATAATAATAATAATAATAATAATAATAATAATAAAATACAAATATTCGTAGCTATATGTCGTCGTATATGTTATACGTAGACCTCTTTGGCAAACATACATTTGCGGATCTTGATTTTTAAAGCTCGCAAGATTTGACTTACGTGCTTTGAGTTTGGGAAAAACTTGAATTATAATAAAAGATAACGAGGGTAAGAATTCGCAGGCTGGTATTGTTAATTCTTATCTTTCTCTAAAATAATCTAACCATTTTGTTCTTTCGACTCGATATTATATTATTATACTATCGCTAAGTGTTATAATAATTATTAATCAATATTAATTATCATTTACCATTAACACTACCAGCTGCTGCTATTCTTATCAAATATTTACTATACACGTTATATATATATATAACGCAAATAGAGTAATAATTATTATTATTACCATTGTCATAGCGATTAGTATTGTATTCAAAATGTTTCATTTCGAGTGATTTAAAATCTATATTATGATTAAAATATCCTTTCAGTCGAGGCACAGATACACACACACACACACATTTAACGTGCGTTCGATCGTATGTACATTTTGGTACGCTTAAAAACCTGTCGGATTGAATAAAAAAGAAAAAGAAATGAAATAAAATAAAAGTTAAAAATAAAGATAAAGGACGCGAGGAAAGTGAGACAAAAAAGAAAGATAAAGAGAGTGACAGAGAGAGAGAGAGAGAAAGATAAAAAAAAAAAGAGAGAAATAAAATATAATAAAAGTAGTCTCTCGTTATCGTCGGAGCGATAAAAAAGGGGCGTTATCGTTTCATACGACGTATACAGCGTCCTTGCACACGGATATCCTTGCCTCCTGTAGGATTCTCAGCCTTGGTCCCAAGGGTATTCCCATTTTTTGTAATCTTTCCTCACTCAAGTAGGGCAACTCCACCATACCGACTTTCTCCTTCTCAAAGGCACTCGCGTATTTCTATGAAGTAGGAAAAAACTAATTCGTTTTGAATTCAACGAGTAATATCATTGGAATTTCTCATCCTTCGGAATTAGTGCATTTACATTTTTATATATTTTGTTTTTGTTTTGTAATCATTTACCAACCTCATACCCAAGTTCCCTGAGGAATAGTCTGATAAGGGGTGGTTCCGTTCCGAAAAATTTCGTCAGTTTTTTCACCCTCGACGGATTGGAAAGTGCCGGTAATTCGGAGTCCTTTATCAACGGCTGGGACTGCGATCTCACCATCGCCATGCTCGTTTGGGTTCGAAGTGCTGCGATTTCCCCCCTTATGTTCTCCATTTCCTGCGAAAACCTGGTAGTAGTGGAGTCTTGCGACAGTCGTTTCGATTCCCGTTACAATTTTCGCGTTCTCGCTCACCTGCATCATCATGTGTTGGGTTCTCATTTCCGAGCTGAGATGTGCCACGGAACGTGCCAGCGTCACCACGTGAGATTCAAGCAATTGAAACCTTTTGTTGATACTCTGAAATAATAACGATAGTAACACGGCTAATCGATGATTTTCTCAACGATCATTGTCACGAGTCAAGCGCACCAAAATTCGAATTCCCCTTGGATTGTAGATATTGTTATTTCTTCTTTTCTTTTTTGTTTTATATATCTTAATAATAAAATAATATCTATTTTATTAAACACATTAGTTTTTTAGTAGAGTTTTAAATCGTACGGGAAATAACACAATAGGTATACACTTTCGAAACGTAAAATTGTTCCGTCACGCGTCGAAATGCATTTTGCAATAATTCGACGCGACACCAGTTTGTCATGTGAAAAAAAAATTATATAAATAAAAGTAACAATATCATCCTACTTTATTTTTTTTCTCGTTAGATATTTTATTAAATATTTAATAAATTTATGACACAGGAAATGGTGAGGTACGCTGGGCTCGTGACATTTATATTTCTCTCACACACACACACATATATGCACTCCTTTTCGTCTCGTGCTAACCTTGATGTCTTTGGCTTTTTTCATACGATCGTCGATCATATGTGATCTACGTTTATCGTGATGTCTGGTGACAGGTCTAGAAGATACCGATGAAGTTGGTAACGACGAAACGGATCCATAACTGGTCAACCCTCTCGTTTTTCGTCTCTTCTTAACACTCCCACCCAACAATTTCAATACCTATAAATATCGATGTGAAGGAATTGGAGATAAGAAAATATGTTAGATAAATGTTGTATACTATTAAACAGTTACCTCACTGTACATATTTTCCAAGCCCTCCAATTGTTTCCTAATCGTTCTTGCGTCGTTGGTACTAAGATCTGAATCACTGCGATCCAGCATCGAATCCAAATCGAGTCCGGTCGTCGTTGACGTCAGATCAGCAACTTTCCAGTCAAAAACTAACATAAGTTATTCTCATTCGTCCAAATGTTTTATATTAATTAAATTATTTAGAACAGAACAGGACTGTCCTGTCCTGTCCAAGATTTATTATATAAAATTGTGAAATTCGTTAACATGTATTGTATATTACTTAATAATAAGGTAATTGTGTGTGATTGGACAATCCTAATTTAGAATTTCTTGGGGATTACTTCAGAGAAAAAAAACATAATAAATCCTTGAACTTACGATGAGAAAACTTTTTACTCGAATCCTTTTTCGATGTCGAAGCACCACGATGTTTGGAACTGTTTAAAAATCCTCTTTTCTCCATTGCCTTGCCATAATCACCGTAACTCGGCTTGGAACCATATGGCAAACTGAAAAAGATATTAATACTCGATCGATTATCCTTTAAACGTTTAGCACGTATCCTTTAAAGTTTAGCATTCGATTTGAACGAATCGACGGGTTAATAGAAATTCGAAGGTGAATTGATGCAATGACCGGAAGTAGCATCATCTCTCGTTTATAGAGGAAGATGGGATCCGTTTGAAGTCACGTTACCTCGCCGAGTATCGATTTCTTGGCGTTCGTGGGCTTTCATGGGGTGATAGAGGCGGTAGTGGCGGTGTCACAGATGATACACTTTCGGATAGAGTCGAGTGTGCCATCGCTGGTACGTCTCTTGGCTCTAAAATGCTTCTCAATTCAGATTCCACTATATCGACCCACTCGGAATCTTGCGCTGTTGTTAAGTGGGACAGAAAATATAGCTTTATAATCTGCTTACTTATTTTCGTATCTGCCAAAAAGATTATCCGATCTTTTTATTTTTCGTTTTCTTTTTTGTTTCCTCTCATTTAACGATCGAGAAAAAGCTAAACGATAATTTTAATTAATCCATATTTGTGTATTATAATATTGAAATAAGTCAAGATATTGCAATATTATCATAATATATATTGGCCAATAATAATATCCTTCATCGGACAGATAATATCTGTTTAACTGAGTGAGAGATTATTTCAAATAGAAATGGGGGATGAAAATAAAATATATCTATATACATATATATGAAAATACGAACCTTGCGTCAAATTTCGATCCTCCGGAGGTGGGCGCCTTCCACTCGAATAAACCGCAGAACCCCTTCCCGAATCGACGTTCGAAGAACTCTGGCCAGCTTTATCGTAATCCGAGCCAGATCCTTGATTTTGTATCTTAAGTCGAGCGATACCCTGTTCCAATTCATCCTTTCGACTGTCAGATTTCGTGGCGGAATCTTTAACCGAGTAGGAGGAACCAGATTCTAGTCTTTTAGAGACGTCCAATCCTAAGGTTTTTGAACTGGCTCCGATTCTCGTACCTTCCAATTCGCAATCTTTCGATAATTTACCAACAATCGAATGATTATTATCGTGTTCGCTTCTCCTTTGCAATTCCTCGATCCTTTTTTGTACGGATATATTTTCCGATGAGTCTTGATTGTCCTGTTGAATCATGTTAACACCGGAATGTTCATGATCTCTCGTCGAAGATCTGATCATTTCGTCCCTGTGTAAACCAAAGCTAGTTTCTGGCCTATAATCCTCCTTTCTTTGCGAACCGTTCCTACCAAACTCGTTTTGTCCTCGATCTTCCACGGTTATTTCGTATTTCTCCTTGTCCAATTGATCCATCGTGTGATTCTTTAGCCCATCCACTCCACCAGGATTTCTCGATGCTTCGTTAATGGCTCGTTCTTCTTCGTAAGAGAGCTGAGGTTGAGATGCTGCCTTTTCAATTCCTTTAGCCGAATTTCGTCTTTGGAACTCAACCTCTTGATTTGTTTCCGACTTCATATAGACCTGTGGTACACCGTACCTTGGCCTACCTTGAGCATAATGATAATATACCTCTTGACTGGATATCCTTAATTCTTGAGTTTGTCTAGAGGTACTTGGTAAATCTATTTGCGACCTGGACATAGCTTGTCTAGCTTGCTGATACTGTTGGTACGATACGCTGTTCGGGAAATATGCTTGCTGTTGCTGTTGTTGTTGTTGCTGTTGTTGTTGCTGTTGCTGTTGTGGCTGCGGTTGAGAAGTATTTCTCGCACCGGCTTGTTGACCCGCCATTTGTTGCTGATGCATCTGCTGAATCAATTGACGTTGGTGCATGTTTTGAGCGTGCTGTTGAGCGAATCGCGGACTTTGGTGATGATTTTGGTTCTGATGCATTAACTGTTGGGTGCTTTGGTACGGTTGACTCATATGTTGCATGGTATTTCCTGTCTGTTGTTGTTGTTGTTGTTGCTGTTGCTGCTGTTGTTGTTGTTGTTGTTGCTGTTGTTGTTGTATAGGTAATCCGTGCTGTTGTTTCTGCACCGTGCTATTCTGGCCCTATTATATTAATTGAAAATAATGAAACTTAGTATATATATGTATTTTTTCAATGTAAAAAAAACTTTGACCATTATACCTGTCCCTGAGTAGGATTCGAATGTAATCCTTGATGAGATTGTTGGTTGGTCAATTCGACGGTCCCTTGAACAACGTAATCTCTGGCTACATTTTGCACCTGTTGACCACCTGGCGTAGATTGCCCGAAAGAAGGTAGTTGAGTTTGATGGACCGTTTGTACTCCACTAACCGGAGCGTGATGAGTTACGTGAAGCTGCGCACTCTGTCCCGGTAAGTTAGGTTGAAGTTGGCCAGGTAGTGGTACACTTTGTTGATTGCTCTGGTAACTGTACGAATGCCCGTATTGACCTAAATCATCGATATCATCCGAGATAGTACGTGTCACCGATGTTAACTATTTTCCGAGTATAAAACACGATCAAAGATCGAGGAAGTTAAAATAGATAGAATCGTTCCAATTCTCATGCTGAAATTACAATTGTGTAACTAAATTATACCCACACGAAATAGAAATAAAGAAGAAATCAAATCCAATCGAATAACTCACGCGAGAGTTCTGTTATTTATCGCGAGAGTTCGTTGCACTGCGCATTGACCGAAGAGAATGCGTACGTAAGAGTAATGCGCGTTTCTCATTAATAAAGATGGTCTTGCTAATTATAGCAGAAAACATCAAGCCTCGCGATACGCTCGTTGTGCATGCTTATATTATTTTATATATATATATATATATTAATATAATATAATTCTACCCGGTCATCCACCGTGTCAGAGCATCTTTTTTTTTTTTATTTAAATTTTAATTTCCATACGATCGATCAATCCTGATATATATATTATTGTTTATTTTTCCTATTATTATTATTATTATTACTTTACAAAAAATATGATGACGATAGATTTTCCCTTCCTCGATCAATCGATACCCGTTCGATAATAAATCACGATCGACGAGCTCGTTTTACCGTAAGCGTTTTTAGGATATTGCTGCATATTGACAGGGGGTTCCTGAGCACGTGGTTTCCCGTAAATGGCTTCCTTCTTTTTCGCTTCCTCCTCGTCGATACCCTTACTGGATTTCCTTAACTCGTCGGCAGCGTTGTTCAAACTCGCTTCCGGTTCTGGCTCAACGTCCTTACGATTTTGACCAAATCTACTTGATATCATGTCCTTTATAGTATGATAGGTCCTTGACAATGATTTTGATTTATCCTCGTCTATCTTTGTAGATCTTGAGACCGTCGTAGTACCACTTGCGGTTGATCTAACGAACACATTTCAAATAAATTTAAAATCTCAAATAAAATTATATCCTAACGATATCGAGAATAAAGAAAAGAAAAAAGAAAAAGAATGATTGCAGAAAAAAACGCAATTGTGAAGGAAATATTTACAACGAAGATTCTTGTGTCTGCTGATAATTCCTCGTTTGTGTTTCTTGCCTGATCTCGTGCATTTGATTCGCCTGAAAATAAAATAAAAAATTATAACGACAACAACAATGGCAAAAAAAAAAAATAATTATCATTGATATATTCGATTTGTTAAATCAGTAATTTATTCATATGACATTCTAATCGTTAGATATCATTCGTATTTCATTCATATTATTTCTCTTTCCGTTCTTTTTATTTCTGTTCCCTGCGAAAGGAATGAAGAAAAGAAAAGAAAAAGAAAAAGAAAAAAAGTATCAAAGTCATTTACAAAGTCTGACAATTTTTCCTACAAAAGTGATTCCATCGGAATCCCAGAAAATGATTCTCTTTCGTAAAGGGCAGTGGACGGCTAATGGCTCGAGGCGGTTGTAAGACCGAAGCGCGTGTGCGCTTAAGCCACACATGGAATTTCAAAGTTGTCGGACTGAATTCTCCGGTTCTTAGGAAGGGATGCGCTTGGAATAACAACGCTTTGCTTGGTGCAAAGCAAGAAAGAGAGAAAAAGGAAATAAGAGAAATAAAAAGAGAGAGAGAGAGAGAAAGAACCTAGCGTGGTTCTTCTCTCAAGCATAGGGCCCTAAAGCAACGTATCGTGCATACGGAAAAAGCTTTTCTGACTTATGACTCTGCACGGATACCATCGTCAGGATTACGCGCGTTTCAAAGATAAAAAAATTGATTATTTTTGCTGCTGCCCTCCCTCCCTCCCTCCCTTCTTTAGAGAAGAAGAAGAAGCAGAAGAAGAAGAAGAAGAGACCGAAAAACGTCACCCCCGCGGCCATTCTCTACGGAATTCACGATCTTAACCAAACCTAAGGGTCTCTACTACGTCCATCTTTCTTTATCATTCATCCTTTTTTATTTTTCTTATTTGATCGCAAACTTCTAAACGCGACGACACCCGAGATTACTTTTATACATCTGTATATATATAAATATATATATATATATATATATATGTATATGTATGGATTTTTTCTACCACATATTCACGAGAATCCTATATTTTATTTTCACTTTTCATTTAATCATGTTATGTGTCAAAGTATGTCATCAGGTACGTGTACGAGTATATATATATATATGTAATTCTTTTCTCAAACAGATCAAGATTTTTCGGTACTTGATTTTATTTTTGTTTTTTTTTTTAATTTCTTTTTTCTTTTTCCCAAGTTGATTAGATCGTACTTTTAGAATGGGGGTATACAATATTATCTTTCGTAATTCTGTAATGTTAATATTGCGTAGAGTATGATATTAGTATTATAACGCAACTGGAGAAACTTAATATAGTATATAAAGGTAGAAAGGATTGCATTAATGAAAGGATATTGTAATATATATTCTCAGCGAGTATGTGATAAAAATCTGAAAGAAAGCTTACATGTCTCTCTCTCTCTCTCTCTCTCTCTCTCTCTCTCTCTCTCTCTCTCTATCCTTTTTTTATTCTTTCTTGTCCGCCTACAATAAAACCATACTCGAACAATTAGTTATCAACGTGGGTGTCGCGTTAGATCGTGAAATTTAAAAAGATAAAACGTGTTGCGTACGATTCTTTGTATGTGATTCATTAATTAAAATTACCCAAGAGAGTACGACGAGTAAGATAATTAATTGTCACGAATGTTAATGCCGAGTTATTTTCATTTAACGATACTCAAAGGTGTTGGTTGTTTTGTTGGTTGGTTAGTTGGTTGGTTAGTTGGTTGGTTGGTTGAAACGAGGTTGGTAGAAAGAATAAGATCATCGTTATATATTTATTTTTTTTTTCTTTTTCTTACCTCTTGTACCCAAGCTTGTTGCTTGATAGGTGCATCCGGTGCGATCGCTACTCTTCCGGCAGTCCTCTGTTTGTACTCATGAAGAATGGGAATCTTGGAATTCTTGTCTCCTGACGACAGGACCACCTCTCTTTCTATCTGCAATCGGAAATGTGCGAATTCCTTTTTTTTTACTTATCTTATTACCTTGTTTTCTTTTTTTTTTTTATTGTGAGCGTTATTTTGTATGCGCGTGTGTATTTTTATAACGAACAACAATTTTTTTCTTCTTTCACTTATCGTATTCTTTTTTCTTCTTTTTTTTTTTTTATTCATCAAAAAAGAGATCAAGAAAATTTATTGTCAATATTTATATTAGATTTGTAGATATAGATTTATTATTGATACAATTTATAATGTTAAAATTATCTAGATAGATAATACGAGTTAATTTAATATTGGATTTTTAAATACATTTAATTATCGCACGTAGGTGAGATTGTGAAAAGATTTGATCATGTCATTAATTTTTGTTTCACGTTAAAAATTCATTTTTATTTAAAAAAAAGAAATAAAAATTCTTTCTCTCTCAGAAAACTAGTACAATTTCTATTTAATTTATTCAATTTAATCGTATTTATCTTACGAAAAAAATATATAATATCATTTTTTTTTAAGTCATAATATTAAATACATATACAGATAAAAAAAAAAAATACGGTTAATATTATCAAATGAAATTATAAGTCAACACAGTAAATTGCTAATATAAAACACACAAAAAAAAAAAAGATTACGATTTACGATTTCTCTAACATTAAGGATGAAATCTGAGATCCATTTAATTGTCCAGTCCCATGAAAATGAAGAAAAAATATATATAAGACATGGCATTTATTCTAATTAAATGACCAGAAAAAAAACGTATACATATATACCGTGTAACGAGAAGTTACAAAGTAAATTTTGAGGAGACGCCTAGCATACGTGTGTTGTTGGTATGGTGAAAGGCAGTGAATTCCAATAAAGAGAAAGAGAGAGTGAGTGAGAGAGAAAAAGAAAAAGAAAAAGAGAGAGAGAGAGACAAAAAATAAAAGAGAATAAAAAGAAAGAGAGAAAGAGAGAGAGAGGAAGATTCTTCACTCTAGGAACATGAAAACGGAAGGAACAAGATCTTAGGCAACTATCGTATATATATATACATATATATTTTTTTTTTCTTTTCTCATTCGCATTCGAGATTGGAGATTCTTGCATTGACAATGTTAATGCGAGAAAAGACGACGATGCACATGCGCTTGGTACCGAACGATTCGATCGGAAGGTACTTCTTGCGTCCATTCCCATGATACACGACGAGGAGTCCCTTGGAAAGATACATCGAGACTAACCTCGACGTATGTTCCATATACAGGGTGTTCCATTTAAAGTTCTTAAAAATCGGACAAGAATCTTTTAAAGAAAAATATATAGGTCAATCGATGTTCAAGAGAAACTTCTTTGAGTATTACTTAAATCTTATCCAATCGTAGATGGTAACAATTCTTGTACGATAACAAGGTACACTTTAAAAATGTATTGAAAAACAAAAAAAGAGAAAAATGTTTGAATCTCGTTTAACTATAATATGATAATTGAATGTTTAATAAAAGTAATAACATTGGACATAATTTTGTAATAACTATGATTAATATTCTATTACGAATATTATATTTTTTTTTTAACTGTATTAAACTTTTGAAATAAAAAAAAAAAAGAAAATAAAAAACACAAAGGGTTAAATCGAACACCCGTTATATGGGAAAGATGTATCTTGTGCGTGTAGGTGTCACTGAACCAAGAGGAGACGACTTCGGTTAAAAGCACTTATTGTTAGTCGTACAAAAATCTTGAAAAAAAAATACAACGAATTATTGTTTTCGTTGTGTTGCGAATGAAAGTATCGAAGATCGTGGAAATAAAATTAGTGTAAATAAGTACGTTTATGAATAATTACCATGTTAATTAGTATAATATTGATTAGATCTTGTTATAGTATCAATAACTGACTCGCCTAATTCACTTGAATCAAATAATGGAGAAGTGTGTGTTAAAAAGTTATTCGAGTTGCAATCTCATCGATGCCAAACATAATCTATAAGAAAAATTTTTACCGTTCTTCGTACGCGGTAAAGTAATTTCCATCGTATATAAAGCGATTACTATCATGGACGGATAAACATCTACTTTTGCGGCTGGTGCAGAATAATGCGTTACATTGCACGCGCATAATTTCGACAAATACGGGAATTGCATATTCGTTTCGCGCGAGTTACATTTCCGCAAGAGATGAAAGATCGCAAAATCCAAGATGTATGTTTGTTAATATGGTTGCTACACGATCATCATAATCGTCTTAAGAAATGCAACCTTTTTCTTTTTTTTTTTTTTTTCATTTACAATTAGTTCGTTTTTATTTATGCCGTTAATTAACGAAAATTAAAGTAACCTTTTTTTAGAAATCACCTTATATATACTTCCTCTTATTTAGTTTTTTTTTGTTTTTCTACATATAAACTTATTTCTTTCTGATAATAGTAATAAAGATAAAACAATACATTATATTTTGTTATCTACATAAAGTTATACGTTTATTAATGAGTTTTCATAAATTCCAATTTAAATATATTCTATCAGATTAAATAGACTTTTTAACTAAGTATACTTTTTAATAATATCCACGATAACAATTTTTATATCCTAGCCCCTTTAATCTACATTATCTTAAAATTCAATATACAAATAGGTATATTATACTTTCATTTTGTAAAACCTTTTAAATGGAAAATTATCTAACACGTTAGATGACCGATTACGATACCTATAATATAACATTGATAATCATACTGATCGATTCTCGAGAATAAAGGAAAATGAAATTCAAGTGGACTTATATAATAGATTATCATAAACCTATATAGATAACGTAGATGAATAATAATGCAAACCGATTGCAATCGTTTACCGATTTTTTCTCGCCTTTGGGGACTTCCATGAAAAAAAATAAAAAAAAAAAAAGTGGATTATCTAAACGGCTATCGCAACAGTTCTGGCTTCCGGTAAACGGTAATAACGACTGTATGATGCCCCCCCCTAACCCCACCTCCCACTCAAACCCTTTTACCATTTTGTACCAATGTAGTCCTGAGAATCTGAGAATCTTCCCAAGAAACTAACACACCACTAACGTAAATACAATGAACTGCTATTTGAACATTTTCACTAGTAGTCCAGTGTCCGTGTTTTAATTCGATCATTCGCACAACTTAAGTATTTTAATATATTATATTGCACATAGTTTATATATATATTGTTAATGAATAAACGTTAAATGAAAATAAAAGAAATCTATGTGTAACCATGATTTACATGATAAACGAGTGCACGCGTATATTATGGAAACTAGATCGTATTAATTTGATTTTGCATTTATAAATATATGCGTAATTGGGAGAGGGGTGGGGGTAAAAAACCGAAGATACAAGGATTAAAAGAAAATAATTATTTCTTGAGCGAAAAGAGAGAGAAAAAATAAATATCTCAACTTGTTATATATATATATATATACCTACTTGTTCAACCTACGTATAGCGTATAATATAGTCGGTGATCTTACGGTGGCTTTACGGGAGCTCTTGAAATAAAGAAAATAAAATTATCGTGTCGTTTCGATAATAATTTTACCGGACGTTATCGAAACCTCGCAGTAAAATTCACCGACACATTGAATTGCTCGGTTGAATATACATATATATATATTTATAAGAACAAAAAATATATATATATATATTTATAAGAAAAAATATAAAGCAAGAAAATAAGAAAAGAAAAAAGAAAATGAAAGAAAAGAAAAGTTTAAGGATCGTAGAGAGATACGAATAAGGTTGACGTCGTAGGACGTAGGGTATATCGTGTCGTATATATATATATATACATTTACACACATGCTCGTCTACGTTCGTGAGCATGTGGAATAAATGCAGACGGTCCCTCGTTAATTAACTTACCGCACCATCCATGACGCGTACCACCACCTACGTTATTCTTTACGTACCTACTATCTCCTTTTTTTCTTTTCTTTTCCTTTTCTTTTTATTTTTTAATCTCTTCCCTTATTTTCGATTTTTCAATTGGAACAGTTCAAAGATCTTTCGGCAAAAATTTATATGTATATATATGTATAACAAGTTGAGATTTTTTTTGTTCACTCGAAAAATAATTATTTTCCTTTAATCCTCACACACACCTTCAATTTATATATATATATATATATATTTTTTTTTCTTCTTCTCGTCGAGATATCTAAATTCTATTTAGCATTTTTCTCATTGTAATTCAAATATTTGTCGTTGTGTAGAGAAAAGATGTTATTTCTTTTTTTTTTTTTAAAATATTCGTATCACGAAGGAAGAATAAATTTGCGAATAAATTTGTGAATCGTTACTCATTCGTTAATACGCGAATAATTCGTTAAATAATACACGCGAATTTATTTAATTATTTATTTTATTTTATTTAATTTTATTTATTTAATTAATTAATTAAACTTACCGGAAATTTGCTACTGTGAGTCTGCAAATTGGCCGCCTGTTGAGCCTGACTCGAACTCTGTTCCTCACCGTAAAGCGGTGGCATCCTGTATTCCGGTGCAAACGGAATTTGCCCGGAATTTCGGATTTCTGTTTTAACGTTAATCGAGTCTCTACTTTCTGTACCGGAAGTAGGTACTTGCGGATGTACGGAAGTTGCTACCGGTTGTTGCCGATCGTCCCAGAACTGCTGCCCGTTCTGTTTCTTTTGATTGTTTGGCACCGGTTTCGGTGGTGGTATTGCCTTGTAAGGTCCTTCCTCATCTGCAACACCACGACGAACAAAATAATAAGCTTCTTATTTTTTATACATAAATATATTTGTCGGACAAATAATATACGGAAACATTATTTTATATTATTGTACATTTCATACGTAACGTTTTGTTGAATCAATTTTTTTGTTTTGTTTATTTTTGAGATACAATCGTTATTAAAAATAAAATAACGAAACGCACGTTGATGTATGTTACAGGTAAACACACATACACATATATAGACACATGTAGATACACACGTAACTAAAAATGTCACCTGTGTTCGCGTTAAAAAAAAAAAAGAAGAAGAAAATAATGATCACACACACGTATACCTTGATTATGATTCTGTCGCCTAAGACGATTCTCCTGCTTAACTTTACGAACAGTAGTTGCCATTGCGTGTTGGCTGACCATCTCTGAAGGGTTGTTTCATAAACGTACTTAGTCTCCTCTTCCTCCTACCCCAATCTCACCCTCAACCTTAAAATCTCGGATCCTTTCGCACTTTAGTCGAAAACACGCGAACTTTGTCTCCCTTATCACTTATCGTGTGTCTCACGTGAAAATTCGAAAAATACTATATAAAACATAAATACCGTAATCATCCCCCATATAAACACACACGATATTTCGTCGTCGTTGTAGGTAAATAATTAATGACAAATTTAACAACAACAACAACAACAAAAATTGATCAATCAATCCCTCCTGAATGTATATCCTTATTTAAAAAAAAAGAAGAAAAGAATCCTGGACAAGATCAGGAACAACAATGTGACCACTTCTCTTGGTAACGTACTGAAAGAAGTCTAACTTTCCATTGAGTGAACGTCTGGTTCCGCCATTCTGACTTCACTTCCGGTATCGTCCCACCACGCCAAGAGAAATCATTACTAACTACTACTACTACTACTACTACTACTACTACTACTACTATTACTCCTCGAAGGGAGAACGATCGAGGCTCTAAGAGAAAAAAGAAATAAATAAAGAAAGAAAGAAAGAAAGAAAGGAAAGAAAGAAAGAGGGGTGGTGGTGGGAGGAAGAGATGGATGTAACAGGAGAAAGAAAGGAAACAGACTTGTCGTGGATGAAAAGAGGAAGAAGAGAGACAGACAAACAAACAGAGACAGAGAGAGACAGAGAGAGAAAGACATGTTGTGGTGGTGGAAGTGGGAGTTAAAGAAAGAAATAAAGAAATAAAAAAAAATAAAAAAAAGGATAGAGAAAGAGAAGAAACACAGACGCCGAGATAATTTATTCCAAGTCCATACTCAGCCGGACTCCGTGGCGCGCGTCGGACGAATATCAAGCTGCCGCTACTGTCACCGTGTCCCAGACGATCTCTCGATCCTCGATAGATCTTCTGGTACAGCAACAAGAATATATATATACATAGTTCTCCATCTTTCTTTCGATATACACACGCAAAAGTAAAAAGGATAAGGAAGGGATAACGTGTGCCATCTCGCCGTACTCCACTTTCTTGATCTTTTTCCAAGAAGAAGAAGATGATGATGATGATGATGATGGTGGTGATGATGATGACCGTCATGAAGATTTTCTTTCTTTCTTTACTCTCTCTTTTTCTCATACCGAGTGTTTTTTAAAGTATATTTGTAGACAATTTTTTAATTACGTTGATGAATCATACGAAATGTTTTACGTGTATACGTGGAGTACGCGTGTGTACAAGTGTGTTTCATTAGAAATGTATTATTCAATATTGTTTGTACTTTATTTGATTTTCTTTTTTTTTTTTTTTTGAGAAAAGATATGTTTCAATTATATTGTATAATAATATATTGAAAAATGGTATAGGTTAAAAGTTATAAAGGTATTCACGTTTAAATATTCTTTATGTGGATGTTTTGTGATGAATGGTATTTTTTAATTGGATCAATTATATTTTTTTTATTTACTTATTTGTGATAATAATGTATTTTAAATATATATTTGATCAATATATTTTGTATATAATAAAATATCTGTATGTGTAGTATATAAGTAAATTTTATACATACAAATTTTGTGAGGAATTTTATAATAGAAAAATATTTTGTAATATATTTATTATTATTATATATTGAACCAAACATATTCATACTTATTGATTATTTATTCTACAATACATGAAACATTAATTTCAAAATATTCATCGAATAAATAATCTCTTTATGTTATTAATTTAAGAAATATCTCGTTTTCATCATTAAATTAAAATTAATACAACGATTTAGAAAATCCTCCCACATTTCGTTCTAGTATAAAAAAGATAAAACAGAGAGTCCAAGAGAAAGAGAGAGAAAATATCTCTCGGTATAAAATCAAGATAAATTAAATTCATAATAGTATTATAATATCATACAAATTATATCCATCCCCGGAATGGATTATTTGCAAATTAAAATCGTGGGAGAAAAAAGTATATAAGAGAAAAGAAAAGTATAAAATTAAAATTATTCTTAATGGGATACGAAACGATTAATAATCGAAAAAAAAAAAAAAACAAAAGAAAATCATTATATCGGGAGAATTATAATGACGAATAGTCGTTAACAGTGTTTTACGATTAAAAAAGAAACAAGAAAAAATATCAACGAACAATATTATGAATAAGAAAAATTAAAAGGGTGACCCGTTTAAACGAAGGCTAACGTTCTTCGTGGAAAGAAAAAAAGAATGAATAAAAAAGAAAAAAAAAAAAAAAAAAAAAAAAGAGAGTGAAGAAAAGAAGAAGTAGAAGAAGAAGAAGAAGAAGAAGAAGCAGGCAAACGCATCGGCCTGCAACGAAGAAATCCTTCGATCTTTTCCTATTTTCTCTTTACCTCTTTTCCACGCGAGACTCGTTTCGCGCTTCTCTCTCTCTCTCTCTCTCTCTCTCTCTTTCTTTTTCTTTCTTTCTCATGTTCACCTGTGTAACACGCTCAAGCACGAGTACACGCGCCGTATAGAGGGGAATCACGCATGGTTGAATCGTTTAAACAGCTTTACCTTCCAAGTCGTTCTAGCTCCTCTTATGTTAGAGAGAGTTCCTATACTACACCATATACCATTCTACCAATAGGGTTTCATATGTGGATCACTACCAACAGTCTTTCTCTTTCTCTCTTTCTTTCTTCCTTCTCGTATTCTTTATTGATCAAGCTTACTCCAACGTATTTTCTCACGACACACAGAAGTCTCCTGTGCGTCATCTTCATCCTTTTTCCTCATTCCTTTTTCCATTGCTTACGTATTCGAAGGAACCCCTTTTTATTCCCATCGAAATAGGCGAACGACACTTGTGTCTTTTTCCATTTACCTTTGCCACCCCACAACTCACTCCTTTTTCCCCTCCTCCCCGACCACTACCACCACCATCATCACTCTCATACACTTCCTTTTCCTCGTACTTGTTCCTCGTGTCAAAGTGTTCTCGTTTTCTTCTCATTCCTTTTGATTCCCCTTCGTTCCCCATTTCATGTTCGTTCACGCAACAACGGAAACATCCTAAATCTTGGCCTTCCTGTTTTCACGACCTTGAATTTTATTCCCCTATCGGGTACTATACCAAGCCTATTCCTTCTTCTTCTTCTGCTTCTCGTATCTAAAGAATTGTTTATTCTTTTATTTCCAGAGAAATATCACATCGTAACGTTTGTCTTCCTTTTTCCTCGATAAATATTATTTTTCCCCTTTACCTCTTCTTCTTTTTCTTCTTCTTTTTTTTTTCTTCTCTCCTCCCCTCGAAGATGATCGCCGTTTATTGGCTGGAGTGTCAAAATCCTAACCCCAACCAACATTTTTATCCTCGTTTCTCATTTTCTTCTCACTCTCACTCTCTTTTCCATTCGGTGTTAGGAAAAATCATATAATATTTCATTTTCGTGAGGGTAAAAATTGGAAAATAGAAGTTTGATTGGGTGGGAGTGGATGGGGGGGGGGGTGGTTTGGGAAAGGAAAATTTAGTCGATCTTATTCTCGATTTTCTGCTTGTACGATTTTCGTCGTCGTATTATCCAATCGTGTATATCATTTATCGATAAGGTACTACTGACGTATCCATTCGGATAAAACGAGCTTTTCCTTAGCGAAATAACAAGCATGCACCCTGTTCCCTTACACAGTGGTACAGAGTATAATGATATCGATCTTATGTATTCCTATAGCCTTAAGCAAGTGCAATCGTTCTTCGTGGTGGTTGTTTTTTCCTTTTTTTTTTTTCTTTTTTTTAAGCCAAGATTTCTCCTTCCTAGTTTATCCCGTAACGATCTTGGATTTTCAAATGACGTTCATCCGATCCACCACCATCATCCGATGATGATCATTATTTAATCCCATTTCAATCTTCCAACTCGACTGGCTGATTGACAATTTATCTTGAATTTTTGTTTGTTTCTTTTTTTTCAGATTTCTTGTGTTTTATTATTCTTTCTTTTTTTTGTTTTGTTTGTTTCCTTTAAACGAAACTCTTCGAATAACGTTGAAAGTCATTTTTCAAAGTTGGTTATTGGTCAAGTAATTGATAACGTCACGTGGGTCGGACAAACGTTATGCATTTGTTGGGTGGCGAAAAAAATGTTCATCGTAAAGTTTGTACGATGGTAGCAGGTGTTTTTCCTGTACACTGTTGTTTGTTAAATCAAAAACAAATATATTTGTAACTATATACCTCGGTACAGTATTTAGTACATAAATATTAATATGCAACGGGAAATATTCATATTTCCCGCCACCCCTAATGTATATTAAAAATCATTTCTATTTGCATTTTAATGAAAACTTTCAACACATTTTTCTAAGTAAAAATCTATTTCGGGAAATGTTCAATTATTCATATCGATAACAATTTTGTTGTTGTTGTTGTTGCAGAGAAACGGTTTTATTCTTTTGTGAAATATAATTTAATGTAAAAATGATAAACGAAAAAAAGAAAAAATTGTTCTTTACAAGAATATAATTAAAATATTATTTTCAATTTTTCCAAACGCGAATTTGAATATAAACGATGACGTATGATACAAGCAGCATCGTATGGATTCATGCTCTCGAAAAAAAAAAAAAGGAATTACATTTATGTGAAAAATCTGTTCTTCTTTTTTGTTCGCGTTATTCCGAATTTTAAATTTAGTCTAATAATATTCCACCTTTTTCTCATTTATTCATTTCATTGTCCTCCATACTAATATTGTAAAACAAAGAAATTCAACTATCGTCCGTTCTCCACAAACTTCTTATTACTTGTTTTTTTTTTTTTTATCATTTTTTACTTCGTCCTTTTTAGCAAGAAAGGGGGAAAAAAAAAGAAAAGAAAAATAAACGGAAAGAGAGTAAAACTAAAAGAAACGAACAAAATGCAAGAAAATACGTATTCGTAAAACGTTTGTGTATATTTCGGCTACTTGGCATTAAATAATCACGTGATTTCAAAC